CCTCCCCCTCCCCCTCCCCCAAACCCTAAACCCTAAACCCTAAACCCTAAACCCTAAACCCTAACCACTGCTGCACGTCGAGGGCCGGGGGCACGTATTTCCACAGCGAAATCTCCTGCTGCACTCTCCGCTTCAGCACGTCTTGGTCATACTGGGGGCCCCTTCTGCTGCGGCTGCGCAGCCTGCAGACTTTGACTGCTATCCGCCGCTTGCTGGAGAGGTCCACTGCCTGCAGCAGCAGCAGCAGCAGCAGCAGCAGCAGCAGCAGCGGCAGCAGCAGCAGCAGCGGCAGCGGCAGGGGAGGCAGCGGCGTGGGGCGCGTGCGCGGAGCAGACGCTCGTGAAGGAGGGCAGGGGGAAAGCTGCAGCAGCTGGCAGGGCGGCTTGCGGGTTTAGGGTTTAGGGTTTAGGGTTTAGGGTTTAGGGTTTAGGGTTTGGCTCACCGACAAAACCACGCCTATGCCTCCTGCGCCCAAAACGTCCAAAAACATTATTCGCATTCGCCCGCCCCGCCTGGCAGCACTTGTCACTATAACTTCTTTGTTGAAGCCGTACGCGTCCCTCCAGAGCGCCTGCAGCAGCAGCAGCAGCAGCAGCAGCAGCAGCAGCAGCAGCAGCAGCAGCAGCAGCAGCAGCAGGAGGAGGAGTGGTGGAAGGCAGCGGGGGAGGGGAGGCTGCGCACGGGCGCAGCGCTCTCTCGCTGCGTGCAAGAGCGGCGGGGGAAACTGGCTAAAGCGCGCAAATCTGGAGATAAAAAAGAAATTAAAATGCCATTAATATTTATTTTTTAAAAATATTTATATTTAAATTATTAATTCCGCATTTACGCGGCCACTTCGCGCAGTCAGCCCTGCAGAACCAGTTCTGCATGCACGAGGCGCCCGCGCGCGCCCGAGGCGCAGCAGCGCGCCCGAGCCGCGCCTCAGCCCCAGTTTGGGCTTTGCGGAATACAAAAAGGAATTTAAAAATTAAAAAATAAAATACAAATCAAAAAGAAAAGAAATTAAAGCCGCAGCCGCCCGGGAATGCGTGCATGCAGCGCTGCAGACCGCCCAGCAGCAGCAGCAGCAGCAGCAGCAGCAGCAGCAGTAGCAGCAGCAGCAGCAGCAGCAGCGAAACCGCGGGAAACCCCGGACAAAACCCATCAAAATGACCCCAAAAAACAGCAAATCCTATTTTAATAACATACCCTTTCTTTGGAAAGCTCCGGGGGCACAGTTTCCCTCACCAACTCCTTCAGCAGCTCCGGCTGCAGCACCCGCGGGTCCGGCGACCACCGCAGGCCCCTGACCTGGGGGGCCCTTTTGCTCTCTGCGTAGAACTCATGAGGGGCCCTGGGGCCCCTCGGCCCGTACGGCAGGGGCCCCTGGGGGCCCCCCTGGGGGCCCCCCTGGGGGCCCCCCTGGTGGGGCCCCTGGGGGCCCCCCTGGTGGGGCCCCTGGGGGCCCCCCTGGGGAAGCGCCTGGCCCTGGGAAGCGGCAGCCCCGCCCTGGGAGGGGCCCCGGGCTGGGCTCTGGGGGGACCCCTGGGGGGCCCCCGGGGGGCCCCCCTGGGGGGCCCCCTGGGGGGCCCCTTGGGGGGCCCCCTGGGGGGGCCCCCGCCCCAGGGACTCACCCCCCCAAGACCCTAAACCCACAACACTCCCAGGCACTGACCGGGGGGCCCCCCAAACAGGGGCCCCCACAGCACTGGGGGCCCCCGTGGGGGCCCCCAGGTACTCTTTTAGTGGGGCATTCTGCAGCAGCAGCAGCACAAGAGCAGCAACACAGGAATTAATTAACAAGTCCCCAGAGATCCTAAACACTGCTTCTGCACTAAGACACACACTGCAGCAGCAGCAGCAGCTGCTGCAGCAGCAGCAGCAGCTGCTGCTGCTGCTGCTGCAGCAGCAGCAGCGCGACTGGGGTCTCGCTTACCCCTGCGTTTGGCAGCGCCGGGCCGTACACACTTTGCAGTTCGTCCTGCTGCTGCTCCGCCTGCTGCTGCTGCTGCTGCTGCTGCTGCTGCTGCAGCTGGGGCCCCATGAGGGCCTCCCCGTTGTAGGGTACTGGGCTGGGGGCCCCCCCCAGGCCCAGGCCCCGGGGGGCCCCCCTTGGGGGAGACCCAAGCCGAGGGTACTTCTCATCAGCTAGGCGCCTTTCTTCAGCCCCAGCTGCCAGCAGGGGGCCCCCCCACTCCTCGGGGGCCCCCTGGGGGCCCCCCTCGGGGGCCCCCATGGGGGGCCCCGGGGGGGCCCCCAAGGGGGCCCCCCCGGGGCCCCAGAAAAGGTCTTCCCCGTAAGTGCTGTCGTCCAGGGCCTCCTCAGATACCCCCTCGGGGGGGCCCCCCTCGGGGGGCCCCTCCTCGGGGGGGGGCTGCTGCTGCAGCAGCGCCTGCAGGGGCCCCAGGGGGGCCCCCTGCAGGGGGGCCCCCAGGGGCCCCAGGGGCCCCAGGGCCCCCAGGGCCCCCAGGGGCCCCAGGGGCCCCAAGTGCTGCAGCCCCGCGCCCCCGAAGGTGAAGTCGGGGGGCAGCAAAGCGAAGGGGCCCCCGGGGCCCCCAGGGGCCCCCAAGTACCCTTGACCTGCTGCTGCTGCTTTGATGCGGTCTGCCAAAGACATGTCCAACAAGTCCTCAATCTGAGACAAAAGACTGGGCCCCAAGTCCTCCTGGGGGCCCCCGGGGGCCCCCAGGTCCTCCGGGGCCCCCGGGGCCCCCCGACCGGGGGGGCCCCCCCGGGGGCCGGGGGGCCCCCAAAGGACAGCTCGAGGGCCCCCAGCCACAGCCGCGGGAGAGCCAGCCAGAGGAAAAGACAAAACCCCAGCAGCGCAGCAGTTAAGACAAGATGGGCAGCAGCAGGGCTGGGGGCCCCCATGGCTTAGGGGCCCCAGGCATGCCCTGGGGCCTCTGGGGTGTAGGGAGCGCTGCTGGGGGGTGTATGTACACCTGGGGTTGGGGGGGTGCAGCAGCAGCAGCAGCAGCAGCAGCAGCGGCAGCGCAGCAGCAGCGGCGCAGCAGCAGCAGCGGGGGCCGCTGCAGCAGAGACACTGGGCGCGCGCAGCAGCGGCAGCGGCGAGGGCTCGGGCGGGGGTTTGCTGCAGGCTGCTGCTGCTGCTGCTGCTGCTGCGGCGCTGCTGCGGGCGGTGCTGCTGCTGCTGCTGCTCCGGGGCTGCTCAGGGGCCACTGGCGGGCGAGCGAAGCCCTCCAGCCTCTCCAGCAGACATTAAGGATATTATTAATTGCAAAGAACAATAAAAAGCTGCAGCAGAAGTCGCTGGAGGCGCAGCTTGCTGCAGAGGCTGGGGAGCCAGCAGAAGGGCCGCTAGCCTGCGCTCCCCGGGGCAGCAGCAACAGCTGCTGCGGAGATCTCCGCTGCAGTTCAAAGCGCAGATTTTATTATTTTGTCTTTTTTCGCGTTTTTATTCCCAATTATATTTTAAATTGCGGCAAAACGGCGAAAAGAAAGAAGGGCAGAGCTTAAAGCCCGAGCGAAAGAGCCTGGGCGCCGCGTCGAACGGGAGTCGCTGTTGGGGCTGTTTCTCCCGCCAATTTGCACAGAAGTCATTGTTCTTTTTAATTCTTTTTCGAGTTTTTACTTTACAAAGTATTTAATTTAAAGCTTTATCGCTTTAAAGCCCGCGGAGAGCCGCGGGAAAGGCCAATGGCGGCGCCTGAGAGCGCCGTCGATCAGCTTCGATTCACAGTCAACGTACACCTCCTGCGCCACTGCTGCTTCTCGATTTCCCACTATTGCCTTTCCACTTTTTCTTTTCTGGACTTTTCAAAAGAATCTTTTTAGTTTTTAAGGCCGCAGAGCGGGCGAGTTGTCTGCAGCAGCAGCGCAGCGCCGCCGCGGCGAACTGCAGCAGCAGTTGCTGCGGGTGGCGCGGCTGCACGGAGCCATTCGCAGCTGCTGCTCCATTTAGTTCTTTTCTTTTATTTAAATTGTTATTTTGTTTTATTTTAGTCTTTTATTGCCTTTAATTGCTGCTCCGTCTAGCGATAATAGCCCCAGAACCGGCAGAGCCCAGCGCCGCCGCGCAGCAGCACTGCAGCAAACTAGTTTAGCTCGAACTGCAGCACGAGAAGAAAGCCTTTAGTTCACTCACTTTGTCTGCTCCTAGGAAGCAGCAACTCAGCTTCTCCTCTGCAGCTGCTGCAGCAGCAGCAGCAGCAGCAGCTGGGGAGCAGCACTGCAGCTCCTTCTCCGCAGCTGCAGCAGCAGCAGCAGCTGCGGAGCAGCACTGTAGCTCCTTCTCCGCACCTGCTGCAGCAGCAGCAGTTCAGCTCCCCCTCCCAAGCCGCTGCAGCAGCACACAGGCGGCAGCAGGCGCAGCACAGCAGCAGCAGCAAGGCAGCAGAGGGGTCCAGACACCTCTGCTGCTTTGCTGCTGCTGCTGCTGCTGCTGCTGTGTGGGGTGTTGCAGGCCCTGGGGTGTACAGACAGCTCATTAGGCAGCTAAAGTGGCTCTACGCCGTTCGGGTGTCTCGGCAGTTTCTCAACTGTCTCGGCAGCTCGAGCGCTGCAGCTTTGTCCACAAAAAAAAGCGCCAACCCTAAGAGCGAAGCAGCTGCAGCAGCAGCAGCAGCAGCAGCTGCAGCAGCAGCAGCTGCAGCAGCAGCAGCAGCAGCTGCGCTCCCGTTGCAGCCTGCAGGGGCACCTCGTCTCTCCCCGCAAGCTGCTGCTTGGTGACAAATGAGGGCCCCGGGGGCCCCCGGGGGGCCCCCAAGCCCCCTCAAGAAAGCGGAAATCAATTTAATAGTGCAACAAGAACTGCAAACTTACAACTAACTGAACTAAAGCACTTTCAAGAACATCCGGGGGCCCCTTGGGGGCCCCCCGGGGGCCCCCCGGGGGCCCCTGCAGCGAAGGGCCTCGCTGCAGGGGGGCCCCTCTCGGGCCCTGGGGGCCCCTCGTGTATGGGGGCCCCTGATACCCCCCGGGTACCCCTTGGGGGCCCCTTGGGGGCCCCTCTGGGACCCTCTGGGCCCCTAGGGGATGGGGGCCGCTTGGGGCCCCTCCAATCTGGGGGCCCCTTGGGACCCTTAGGGCCCCTTAGGGGCCCTTGGGGCCCCTCATCTTGGGGGGCCCCAGGGGGGCCCCTGGGGCCCCCCTGGGGGGCCCCTAAGGGGCCCCCTGGGGGGCCCCTGGGGGCCCCTCGTGTGCGCTCATTTGAGGCAATTTGGGGGCCCTGTGGGGCGCCAGTTGGCCTCAAAGTTCTGCTGTGAGGCTGGAGGGTTGGCCCTCCGAAGTTTGCCAAAAGTTTAATTCTTTTTGTTCCCTGAAGCAGCAGCAAACAGCAGCAGCAGCAGCAGCAGCAGCAGCAGCAGCAAGTGACGTGGGGCCCCGCATGCAGGCGCCTGCACGCAGCCAGCTGCCCAGCACCCCCCCTAGCGCCCGGCAGCAGCAGCAGCAGCAGCAGCAGCAGCAGCGGGCAGGCCCGCCGCTGGCCCGCCTAGGGTTTAGGGTTTAGGGTTTAGGGTTTAGGGTTTGGCGTGCCTGCGGATGAGAGAGGCACTCAAGGCCTGCCTGTTCTTCAAAACGCGAGACACCAATTCCTTGGTGGTCCAGTTGGAAAAGGTTTCTGCTTCTCGGTAAATGCCGAGGGCTTTAGGGACTTTGTAGGGGTCTTCTTCGTTTGCTGCTGCTGCTGCTGCTGCAGCAGCAGCAGCAGCAGCGGGGGGCCCTCCCCCCGTGCAGTCAATCCGCGTGCCCCGCACCACCAACTGAATCTTAAACATGTCCAACAAGTACTTGGGGATATTCCAGGGGGCCCCTATTATCACTTCGTCCACCATCCGCAGCGCTGCAGCAGCAGCAGCAGCAGCAGCAGCAGCAGCAGCAGCAGCACAGCAGCAGAGGCGGTGGAGGGCGCGGTCCGGCTGTGGCGGTCCAGCTCTAGGCGACTCCAGTTCAAAGCTAATAAAGGGACAGACAGGAGACTAAGCAGCAGACACAATGCCCGCTGCTGCTGCTGCTATTACTGTTGCTGCTGCTGCTGCTGCTGCTGTTGCTGCTGCTGTTGCTGCTGGTAGCTTACCCAAAACGTTGAGGGCCCTCTCGTTCAAGCTCATCACCGGGAAGCCTGGGCCCTTTACAGAAGCCACTGTGGCGTCATCTGCAGCAGCAGCAGATTAGCAGCAGCAGCAGCAGATGAGCAGCAGCAGCAGAAGAGCTGCAGCAGATGAGGTCGCGTAAGCAGCACCAAACGAGCAGCAGAAGCAGCAGCAGCAGCAGCAGCAGCAGATGAGCTCACCGTGCACGCCAACAATTAAATAGTCCCCCATCTCCTTGGCGAGTTTAAGAATTCGAACGTGGCCAACTGCAGCAGCAGCAGCAGCAGCAGCAGCAGCAGCAAATCAATCTCCACCTCTCTGTCCACTGGCTCTCAGTGGTTCTGTGGGGTCTGGAGTGTATGTCCACTGGGGTGTCTGTACACTGGCTACGAGAGTGGGGTGTGGGGTGTCTGTACACTTCGTGGGGTGTCTGTACACTGCATTTGGGGTGTCTGTACACTCTGTGGGGTGTCTGTACACTCTGTGGGGTGTCTGTACACTTCGTGGGGTGTCTGTACACTATGTGGGGTGTCTGTACACTTTGTGGGGTGTCTGTACACCTTGTGGGGTGTCTGTACACTTTGTGGGGTGTCTGTACAGTGAGTGGCAAAGTGTGGGGTGTCAGTACACTCTGTGGGGTGTCAGTACACTCTGTGGGGTGTCTGTACACCCTGAGAGGTGTCTGTGCAAAGTGTTCGATGTCTACACAAATTGTGGGGTGTCTGTACACTCTGTGGGGTGTCTGTACAGCTGGGGTGTCTGTACACTCCGAGGTGTCTGTACACTCTGTGGGGTGTCTATACACTCCAAGTGTCTGTACAGCTGAGGTGTCTGTACACTGTGGGGTGTCTGTACACTGTGGGGTGTCTGTACAGCTGAGGTGTCTCTACACTCCGTGGGGTGTCTGTACAGCTGAGGTGTCTGTACACCCCGAGGTGCCTATACACCCTGCGGTGTCTGTATACTCCAAGTGTCTGTATACACTCTGTGGGGTGTCTGTACACTCCGTGGGGTGTCTGTACAGCTGCGGTGTCTGTACACTCCGTGGGGTGTCTGTACACTCTGAGGTGTCTGTACACTCCAAGTGTCTGTACACTCCGTGGGGTGCCTATACACCCTGCGGTGTCTGTACACTCCGTGGGGTGTCTGTACACTTTGAGGTGTCTGTACACTCCAAGTGTCTGTACACTCTGTGGGGTGTCTGTACACCGTGGGGTGTCTGTACACTCCAAGTGTCTGTACACTGTGTGGGGTGTCTGTACAGCTGAGGTGCCTATACACCCTGGGGTGTCTGTACACTGCAAGTGTCTGTACAGACCGTGTAGGACGTCGAAGGAGCCGTCGACATAAACGACTTTGTCTCCAGGTTTTGCTTTTTTGGGACTTCCGATGAACTGCGCGAGTCTTTTCGAAGACATGAACAAGTTCCACTCCCCCTCCCTCCGCCTCCCCTCCTCCCCCTCCTGCTGCTGCTGCTGCTGCTGCTGCTGCTGCTGCTGCTGCTGCAGCTGCTGCTGCAGCAGGGGGCCTCCCGGGGCGTCCCCGGGTCGCCCGTCGCTGGCGCTTGCTGCGCCTTGGGCGTCTGCTGCTGCTGCAGCTGCTGCAGCAGCTGCTGCTGCTGCCTCCCCCTCAGCAGCAGCAGCAGCAGCAAGAAGGCGCTTGGTGAGTCTGCTGCTGCTGACGCCCTCCGTGCGGCGAAACAGCCGCAGCCGGCCTGCAGCACGAGGCCCCGCGTAGGCGTCCCGGCCTGCTGCGTCTGCTGCTGCGTCGTCGCCGTGAGCAGCAGCAGCGCAGCGCAGCACGTCCAGCAGCAAAGTGGAAACAGCATAAGGAGTATTAAGAACAACTTCATCGACCCACCTGCAGCAGCTAACCATCTCCGCTCTTTCTGCTGCTGAATATATCGGACAAGACCCTTTTGCTGCTGCTGTTTCTGCGTCTCCGTTGACCCCAACTACCAGACAAGTCCCCAGACTTCGGGCTTGTCGAAAGGCGTTGAAGTGGCCCGAGTGCAGCAGGTCAAACACCCCGTCCACGTACACGCGGCCTGCTGCTGCTGCTGCTGCTGGTGCTGCAGCAGCAGCAGCAGCAGCAGCAGCAGCAGCAGCAGCGGCGGCCGGGGAAGGCGACCACAGCCCTTCCGGACGAGGCACCGCCCGGCCCGTCGACGGGTCGTACACGAATATCAACGGCTCCCGGGACGCTGCTGCTGCTGCTGCTGCTGCTGCTGCTGCTGCTGCTGCTGCTGCTGTTCCTGCTGCTGCTGCTGCAGCAGACGAGTCCAGAGGCGCCACCCGCTCCGACTCCCCAGACACCTCGTCAGTTGTGCTCGCAGCAGTGCTCGGGCAAGCTGTGCTCAGGGGGCCCTCGGGGGCCCCCCCAGGGGGGCCCCCAGGGTCCTCCTTGGGCCTCCAGCTCGCAGCAGCAGCAGCAGCAGACTCGCCACTGTCTGCTGCTGCTGCTGCTGCTGCAGCGGCAGCAGCAGGAGCAGCAGCTGCTGCTGCTGAAGGAGAGAGCAGGTGAGCCTTGAGGGCCGAAACGTCCGCAACCGCCCGCGCATGCAACTGCGAGTCGCACAGCCGGCAGGAGGCCCCCTGCTGCTGCAGGGGGGCCCCCAGGGGGGCCCCCTGCTGCTGCAGGGGGGCCCCCAGGGGGGCCCCCAACCCCTGGGGGCCCCCGTGGGCACTCAACAAACCCGGAAGGGCCTCGTCTTGACTTATGAGCTGATAGACGAGAATGAGGCGGTGAAGGTACGAGGTGTACGTACACTCCACGGGAGCCGCTGATGCGCCCATGGTGCCGGGAAGCAGCAGCAGCCAGGCGCATGCACTGCGCAGCAAAAGGGTTTAGGGTTTAGGGTTTAGGATTTAGGGTTTAGGGTTCGGGTGAGGGTTTGGCGGGACTTGAGGGCGCAGACAATCTGCGCGGACCCGGAGAGCTCGCGGGCTCTGCAGAAAATAAAAAATGGACAAAGAAGGGGAAATAAAAGATATAAACAACTCAATGGCCAAGAGAGCTGCTGCAGCAGCGGAGAGAGCAGCAGCAGCAGCAGCAGCAGCAAGCCCGCGCGCGCTGCTCGCTGCTGCCTTGCGGCTGTGTGGTGTATGTACAGCGGACCTCCCAACAAAACAAAAACAAAACCAACAAATCGACAAGACTTTTGCGGAAAAGGAAAACTTTTCTTTTGCAAAAAGCAGCAGCAACTTGCAAGGAAGCAAAGTCCAAAAGAGCCAACTCGCGCCGGCTCTGGGGCTGCCAGCAGCAGCCCCGAAGCCCGAGGCTGCTGCAGCCTTTCCTGCTTGCAGATAGTTTTAAATCTATTTTTTCTTTTTCATTTCGTTTTTAAAATTTAAAATTCGCATTTATTTTCCAATTTAAATTCAATTCCGCAAACTCTCCCCCAACTCCGAGGCACTGACACCACCGCCCCGCCGCGCCACCCGCGCGGGCACACCGCCGCTGCTGCTGCAGCACTTTGAACCTCCAATTTGCTGCTGCTGCTGCTGCTGCTGCTGCAGCAAATCCAAACTCCTCACTTTTCCCAAAACTTGCATGCAAAAAGCTCTCGACACTTTTGGGGCTTTCCCGCGGCTTCCCGCGCGAGCTGCAGTGACACCGCAGCAGCGGCTCAGCTGTACGTACACTCCAAACGCCCACGCCACCCTATCCCGGCAAACTCCAGCCAACAAAACATCCATTTTTCGCCAACTCTTCCAGTTTTTAAGAACTTTAAAACTTTTAAAGTGATGAGAACTCCCTCTTAGCCTATATAGTGAACTCAAGCCCATCTTGGGCCCCCTAGGGGCCCCCAGCGGGGCTCTCCGCAGCAGCAGAGCCGCAGCAGCATTCCTGCGGGCGCGCGGCAGCAGGCTTGGCCCCGCGGCAGCTAGCCAAACCCTAAACCCTAATTTAGCTGTTTTGCTCCCTGGGGGGTTTGTCCCCGTGTCTGCTTAGGCAAATATGCCCGGGGCCCCGCTGGGGCCCTCTGCATGCAGAGGCTTAAGACTAAACCCTAAACCCTAGCGCTCAAACCCTAAACCCTAAAAGGAAAGCCCGGAAACCCTAGCCCTAGCTTGCCGCGCGCAGCATCCGGCGAGCAGTCGGTGTCCACTGTTCAGGGTTTAGGACTTTGCATCTAGGGTTTAGGGTTTAGGGTTTAGGGTTTAGAGTCTGTTTTCTTGTCTTTCGGGCCAAAGACCGGCCCCAGGTCCGTTGTGGGGTTTTGTGGGGTTCGGGTGTCTGTACACCTGGTGGCCTCGCCAGCTCGCTGCAGCGAACTCTCCAGCAGCAAATAAAAACACGAAAACCACAAAAAGACACAAAGAGACACAAAGCCACAAACAAACCCTCGAACCAGGTGTTCGTACACCCCGTCCTGCATGCGCTGCAGCGCCACTCATGCACCACTCCGCATGCAGCTCACGCAGCAGCAGCAGCAGAGAGGGGGGCCCCCTGGGGGCCCCCCGGGGCAAAACGGGGCCTCCCCGGGGGCCCCCTGGGGCCCCCAGGAGGGCCCCTAGGGCCCCCTAGGGGCCCCTAGGGCTCTAAGAGAGCCTGGGGGGCCCCTGGGGGCCCCCTGGGGGCCCCCAGGGGGCCCCCTTTTGGCTTTTAAACCCTTATGCCTCCTCTCCATGCAGGAGTCCGCAGTAGTACCCAAAGTGAGGGGCCCAGGGGGCCCCCAAGGGGCCCCCTGGGCCTCACATAGCAACGCGGTAGCCCCGACGCAGCAGTGCCTGCAGCAAAGAAGCAGCAGCAACTGCAACAAACCCTAAACCCTAAACCCTAGACCCTAGACCGTGGACTCTGGCTGACGTGAGACCAGCGATGCTACAGAAATAAGCCGCATGCCTTAAACCCTAAACCCTAAACCCTAAACCCTAAACCCTAAACGCCTACAGATTGAAGAGACAGCACTTGCCGGCGCTGCTCTGGGGTCCACGCGGCCATGCGGCTTGGGGTGGAGTTCAAAATGCTGCAGCAGCAGCAGCAGCAGCACAAACAGCAGCAGTGGCCGCAGCAGCAGCAGCAGCAGCAGCAGGCGCATGCGGCCCGCCACAGTGCCTCTGTAAGCCAGGCCACGGGCTGCGTGGCTCCCGAGGCATTAGAGCTAGGGTTTAGGGTTTAGATCTAGGGTTTAGGGTTTAGAGCTAAGGCTAGGGTTTTGAGATTTGAGGTTAGGGTTTAATCTTCAGATCTAAGGCTCGGGATGCCGTTCTAGGGTTTACTGAGCTATAGGGTTTTAGCTAGGGTTTCGCGCTAGGGCTTGGAGTTTGAACTAGGGTTTAGGGTTTGAGCTAGGGTTTAGGGTTTGAGCTAGGGTTTAGGGTTTGGCCTACTTGCTCAACATTGAAGGAACCTTCACAACTTCATCTGAACGCCCAATGAAGAGACACAGAGAAAGCAGCCCGTGGCACAGCAGCAACAGCAGCAGCAACAGCAACAGCAGCAACAGCAGCAGCAGCAGCAGCAGCAGCAGCGGGTGCAGCAGCAACTCACCCACTAAAGCAGCAGCTGCTGGGGGCACTTCCCAAGCGGGGTGAGACGGCTGCGGCCTGTTTGCTGCAGCGCGAAGCACAAGAGAAAAAAGGCAAATTAAATTAAAACAAAAACAGAAAAGAAATAAATAAAAATAAAATAAAAAACAAAATAAAAAACAAAATAAACAAAAAACAAAATAAATGAAACAATCCACCTGGGGCCGACGAATAACAGCAGCAGCTCACCTGGCAGGCCGCCCGCTGCTTCGGCGGGGCGAGCAGCAGCAGCAGCAGCAGCAGCAGCAGCAGCAGCAGCTGGCTGCTGCTGTGGGGCCCCCACACACGGCACGGGGGCCCCCTGCTGCGGACTCACAAGGGGCCGGGGGCCCTGCAGCAGCGGCATTGCCCCAGGTGCTGCTTTCGAAGCAGCAGCCCACTGGCGCGAGGGGGCCCCCTGGGGGCCCCCGGGGGCCCCTGCAGCAGCAGCAGCAGCAGCAGCATCCCCGGACATGGGTGCTGCTGCTGCTGCTGGGGCCCCTCCCGCTGCTGGGGCTGCTGCAGCAGCTGGTGCTGCTGCGGCAGGGGCAGACGCAGCAGTGGGCACTGCAGCAGCAGCCGGCGATGGCTGCGCTGCCGGCGGCCGAGCAGCAGCAGCAACAGCAGCAGGAGCAGCAGCATGAGCAGCAGCAGCAGGAACTCCCGCAGCTAATAGGGGCCCCTCAGGGGCCCTCAGGCCCATTTGTGTGGGGCCCTGGGGCCCCACACTTGTCTGCTGCAGCATCATAGAGCCCAGTGGAGCTGGCGCGGACCAGCGCCCGGGTGTATGTACACTGAGGCCTCCTGCTGCTGCTGCTGCTGCTGCTGCTGCTGTTGCTTGAGCTGCTGCTAGCGCTGTGTCGACAGCAACGGGCCCGTTGACGAGAGCAGCAGCAGGCATGTGGCCTGCGACGGAAGGGGTAGGCTGCAGCAGCAGCTGCTGCTGCGGCTGCTGCTGATGCAGCGGCTGCTGCATCCGTGGCTGCTGCTGCATCTGCTGCTGCTGCTGCAGCTGTTGCGGCTGCTGCATCTGTTGCGGCTGCTGCAGCTGTTGCTGTTGCTGCAGCTGCTGCTGCTGCAGCTGCTGCTGCTGCTGCATCTGTTGCTGCTGCTGCATGTGCTGCTGCTGCTGAAGCTGCTGGTGTTGCATCTGCTGCTGCTGCTGCATGTGCTGCTGCTGCTGCAGCTGGTGCTGCATCTGTTGCTGCTGCTGCATCTGTTGCTGCTGCTGCATCTGTTGCTGCTGCTGCTGCAGCTGGTGTTGCTGCTGCTGCAGCTGGTGTTGCGGCTGCTGCAGATGGTGCTGTTGCTGCGGCTGCATCTGTTGCTGCTGCGGCTGCGGCGGGGTCACCGTTGCTGCAGTGGTTGCAGCTGTGCTGCTGCTGCTGCTGCTGCTGCTGCTGCTGCTGCTAGGCGCCACGCTGGACTCGCGGCGCGGCGGCAGCAAGTTTGCTGCTTTAAGCTGCTGCTGCCTTTCCTCCCTGTTGCGCTGCAGCTGCTGCCGCTCGAACTCGGGCAGCCTCTTGAGCGCGTCAAAAGTAGCCACCAACTGCTGCTGCTGCTGCTGCTGCTGCTGCTGCTGCTGCTGCTGCTGCTTGTGCTGCTGCGCCTCTGCTTCTGCTGCAGTGAGCTCTTTGCTGCTGACGGACCCCACCAAATACATGGCAAAGACTAAAGCATAAGTCAAAGAAGGATTGTCTGTGAGGAGGCGGCGGCAGCCAAAAGGCTGCTGCAGCGCGAGCTGCTGCAGCAAGTGCAGCAGCTGCAGCAGCTGCGAGGTGGACAGACACTGCATGAACTCGCAAATGAAGGAAGGCAAAGCCCCGGGAGCAGCAGCAAAAGGGTCTGAGGGGGCGTAGCCCATGAGCGAAGCAGCAGCAGCAGCAGCAGCGCCTCCGTCCCGCCCCGGCAGCGCAGCAGCAGCAGCTGCTGCTGCTGCTGCTGCACCTGTCAGCCTCCCCTTGCTCCCGCGCGCCTCCTGCTTCCCGCCCGAACGCCCTCCTGAAGCAGCAGCAGCAGCAGCAGCAGCAGCAGCAACAGCAATGTTGCCAGCAGCAGAAACTGCAGCGGCAGCAACGCCTCCAGAAAGTGAACACCCGCAGCAGCGGCTGCTGCAGCGCCAGCAGCAACAAATCCGCCGCGTGCAGCACCACAGCAGCAGCAGCAGCAGCAGCAGCAGCAGCAGCAGCAGCAGCAACGCAACAAGCACGAGCGCCACCGCCGCCACGCGCAGCAGCAGCGCCACAAGCACCACGAGCAGCAGCAGCAACGCCCCCGCCAGC